GGAAAAAAAGCATTTCTGCTTGATCACTGTTTTGATCAAGTTGCTACTGTCCTTAGAAATGGTGTCATGGATTTAAGCTTCAGACAGGACTTGCTACTCCTGCAGGACAGATGCATAGCGTGCCATTCAAAGTGGAATAGAAGGACAAAAAAATTCTACAAATTAAGGGAAATGTTTTATTGAATTGTAGCATCTATGTCACTAAACACTGAGACCTAAAATTTTTTCGTTCAGTATTTTTGTTCTTTACTTTGCAATTGGAGAAAAGGTATATGCATAATATATCGACACGCACAATACACTAATATGTTTCACCTTTAAAAACCTATTTTTTAAACTGGTCAACATTTAGAGATTTTTTTTTTTTGACCCAGTATTACTGAGTCTTTAAACATTTTCTCAGGGAATTTTTTCAAAAGTCTGCTTTCTTTCTAAGGAAGTCAAAGAGCTTTAAAAATATTTGTCAACGTATCTTTCCACCATTACCTCTTTCAGAACATGAGAATTAAAGCGAGTGCATCCATTATGTAGAGAAACTGAAGCGGAGAAATAGTTAAGTGACATTGTTAAGAAAATAGATTGTTGATAATAGCATGAAAAAAAATCCTAAAAAATCTTGATACCCAACGTATTTGTTCTCGCCCTGCAGTCGCGTATTTAACCATTTCAGCTACGATAAGCGTCTGTGGAATAAACTCTGTGTTTTGTAAGCCTCCTAGGAAAGTAGTAGCGCCACGCTCCTTTTCTTCTCCATGTCCACACTTGGGGAAACCAGCAGTGGGCTCCGAATTATATGGCCTTTGCTTAAGATTTTACACCTCACATTTTAAGCATAGTCTTTAGTCGATTTGTCCGTGAGGTTGGAGCCCTAAAAAATGGTCCAAAAAAACAACAACAGAGAAGGTAATTCATTGCTTTTCATCGTAATACTCTTCTGTTGAAATAACTATATTCCAAATTAAGGCTTTTTTCCTATCACTGAAGTTAGACCAAACAAAGTGTGGGTGTGCAATGGCGGTGCCAACTGTCCTTTAAAATGACACACTCTCTGATTCCTCGCCACAGGCATTCGCAGTGCTGTTTCCTGGGTGCAGCTGGTAAATTGCCCACTTCGCACTCTGTAAACCAACACCTTTAAAGGGTCATGACTCCACAGGAGCCTTTTCAGTTCTTCTCATTGAGCGATTTCAAGGGTCTCTTCATTCTCGCCATGCTTTGCGAGATGGATCACTGAGGTTTCCAACCTAAAATAACATTTCTGAAAGTTAATGATGGCTCATAAAATATTTTGGAAACAACTTGTTTACAAAAATCTGTTTGCTAAGAAATGTTAGCACAGCATGTATATCACTGCTCATCCAGTTAAACAAATTGATTAATAGGTTGGATTTTCTTGTGAAGTGAGGACTTTTTTTATAGTTGCCCTCTGTCTGCTAAGGATTCTAGCTTTTAAACTGTTGGAATCATATATTATTATAGTAAAATAAGAAATTAACTTGCATTTTTCTATTGTAATTAAATGAGAAACAATATGATTACTTTGTTTTGACACCTAATTAATGATGGTTGATATTGTCATTTTTATTATACTTTTCCCAGAAATCCAATAAATCCCAACAACATTAAATCTCAGGAGGTAACAATGCACAGTACAAAGTCATCCTCAAAAATAAAATTCATGACCAAATGAAAACCTGATGGCTTGTAATTATTAGGAAAAAAAAAACAACAACTATAGTTTTGGATCCCATCAGAAAAAAATTCACCCACTTGGTGTTTAGATATATTGGGAACCTAACGAAATCCCCAAAAATCAATGGGAAAAATTAAGGATCGATAAAAGTATTTTCAAATGGACAGGTTCACTTCCAAATGGAATGGAAGTGTTGAAAACTACCTCAGGCCACTTGAGATCAACTTTAGGTGGTGGAGATTCCTGCCTTCTCATTCTCCTTAGCATGGTTTCTATGAATACACATTAGCTTGATGCAAAATGCGATGATGCCGTGCCACGTCCGGGTAACCACTGCCCCTCACGAAACCCAGAACAATCTCTCAACATACAGATGACTGTCTGAAAATGTCCAGGGTCCTCTTGCCTTGTGAGCGAACCATAAACCAGCCCTACCACTACACTGAGCTGGCGTCAGGGGCTGGCATTTCACTGGCACTATGATTTCCCTTCGGATTAACTGTAGCCAGTAGAAGAACAAGCTACTACAGGATGCCATTGCTATATTAATGACAGTAAGCTTTCCTTGTCCTTTAAGCCAATAGTAGGCAACATAGCCAATTTCTTTACCCAGAATGCCCCACTCCCTCCACTCTCCTTCTGTGACCCACCCAGTCCACATACTGCCTCTAGGACTGGAACTCATTGTCCAGTGAGATGAGACCCTTCTCTTACCCCCGTAAGTACAGGCAGTGAGTGCCCGGAAGTGTACAAAAGACCTCTAGATGGAGAGTCAGAAACCAGCATTTATACACCATTAGTTTGCTGTGCGATCTTGAGCCAGTCACTGATTGCCTGAGGGGCCCAGCTGTCACGTCTGTAAAATGTATGTACTGGGAGGAAGCAGGAGCTAAATGTTCACTGCGATCTCTTCTAGCTTGAAATCTCTATAAATCGAGAAACTACTTTTCAAATATTCTGAGAAACTGTGTGTTTCAGTTCTGAAATAATGCTCCTCACCTCTGCTCTCGAGCTCATTAGAAGCTATACTGGATGACATTTCAAGCCAAGGTCTGATAGTAAACGGGGGAGAGGTTTGGGGCAGGGAGACTTTTCATTGCCCTCTTGGAATTGGGAAATGTCTATAGCTACATTGACTTATGCCCCCAGTTCTTCCCCTAAAATACTAATGTTGGTCTTAAAAGCCCACATTATCTATTGAAAGTGTGCACACAAAAAAAATATTTTCCAGATCCAACATTGCATGTAGTGGCTTATTAAAGGTCATCAAGAGTTTTATTCTCAGAGGCAGCTTTGCCTCAATTTTACCCTTTTGTGCCCTTTTGTATCTGTGCCCCTTGATATCCAAACAGTCAATGAATTTTTGTAACACACATTTCTTCCACCTATTAAATCATCAGATTATTCAAGCATATGCATAATTGCAAGGAGGTAGCCTAATTGTTGCTGCTACCATTATTGGCTATCTTTTATTCATTTCCTGCTTGTTTTCTCCCTGGTTAATTGCTCTGGGATCTAGGACCCTTCCTTATGAAGGGTATGTTAAGACTGCTCTCCATACAACCACACATGCTCACACAGAGGCCACAAACCACCACTACCCACAAAATGAGCAATGAATTTACCAAAAGGTAAAGAAGCCCCAGAGGACTCATGACTCCAGGAATAAAGTCTTGGCAAATAATTCATCCTGAGCCAAAACAAACTTTAAAAGTGTCATTAAAAATAAACCACCCATGGGCTGGCCGAGGGGCATGTTGGTTAAGAGCTGGCTTGGGACACCAGAAGGCCCTGGTTCAGATCCCACATATGAGGGCCAGTGACACTGCCCTCTACAGCTAAGATGCTGAACAACAGCTCAACCTGGAGCTGGGCTGCAGTGAGTCCCGGCGACGGCGTAGGCTGCAGTGGTTGCCATGGGCTACCATGTGTGGCCAGCAGCCAGCATGAGCAGCCAGCAGCCGCAGTGAGCGGCCGTCCAGAAGCCAGCAACTGATTTGCCTCGCCTGGGAAGAGCGCAATGATGGTACCAACTTGGGCCAGTGAAGCAACGTCCTCCACAACTAGACTGAAGAACAAAAGGACAGCAACTTGTCTGTTCCCCTTCCCCCAATTCCCCAGCGCTGTTCCTAGCCCCCAATTCCCCAATAAAAATCTTAAAAAAAAAAAAAAAAAAAAGCACCCGTAATTGGTAAGTAATGAGTGAGTAAGGAGTTCAGTGAATTTTATGTGAAATGCAAATAAGAAATTTTATTATACACATAGCTATAATTTACACCATTGTTTTTTTGTTGTTGTTCAGCTAAACACCAACAGGGTTTTTGTTTTAAGTATATTATTTGCAGCTATCATGGTTAATTATGTAACTGCTATGCCCTTGACAGCAGATAGTTCAGAGCTGTTGTGGCATTGTCTCAAAAGCTGTTCTCAGAGCTCCCTACTGCTTAGGTCACTTTAAGGACCATGAGTTCGGGACTTAAAGACGCTATCATCACTCAAAGGAGCCATTGATTGCAGTGTAGACATTGCAGAAATTCCTCTCTTTATATGATGAAGTTACTGCTGGAA